CCCCAAAACCCCAAAACCCCAAAACCCCTTTGTAGCATTTTTACTTAATTCTTGTATAAAAAAGTAAACAAACAAAATAAGCTTCTCTTGAAACATTTCATCTCACAAAAACAAAGCCTTAGAATAAAACATAAAATCCCCACACCAATCACATCACCTTCATTCTCCATAAACAGAACTCAAACTTCCTCTCACCCAAGACTCCTCCCCACCCCACCTCCACCCCCAACCAACCACCTTACCTCCACACCCCTCCCCACCTCTCCTACTCACCCGCCTTTTTTCCCAACTCCCAAATCCCTCGCTCCCCTACCCAAGAGTCTTTTCCAAAACCTTCAAAATCCCACTTAAAAATCTTACTACAAAAGGGTGGCTGGAATAAAGCTAGGTTCCTTTGGATTGGGAGGGCAGATGGGAGGGATAGAGAGAGGGGATGGGGTTAGAGGGGGGTGTGGGAGGGTTTTAGTGGGAGATGAGGTTTATGTGGGGTTTTAGTTAGGTTGGGTTTTTTTTGGATTTTTATGTGTGTTTAGAGAGGTGGTATAATGGAGGGGTATAAGAGATTAGCCAAAGATTTAGTAAGATTGAGCTGGTTATAGTTGATTTCTTCTAATAAATTTTGAAAGTTAAGGAAGAGGCTAACAAAGCAGAAATTAGAACTTATGAAAAAATTCAAAAAGAATAAGAAATACTATATCAATTAAATATACTTAGTTTGAGTTTATGGCTTATTCTTTATTTTAAATTCATAAGAAAACTTGAAAAGGTAATTTTTCTCAAGATCAAATTTAATTTATTATTTTAATATTAATTAAACTTTGTAAATGATAAGCAAATAAATAAAAATAGACTTGAATTTAATATATTTAATTGATGCATTAACTCTCCTACTTTCTAATAATTTCCATACATTTTCTAACTTCCGATTTTATTATTCTTTTCCTTAATTTTACTAAGTATGCCTAAAGTTCTCAATTATAGTCATACCAGTTATACTAAATCTTCCATCAATGGTTTGAACTTCTTAGCTACCCAAACATTTAGATATATTTTCGTACATTTTACAAATCCTAACCAGAATTTCACAAGTATTTATCAATTTAATATCTTTTTACTAAAAACCAATAGCTTTATCTTCTATTAAGCCATTTTAATTAACTTCACTAAAGTTCTTGAGAGTGAGGTCATTAAATTCACGTTGTGTTAACTTACTTCAGTCTTGATTTATTATGTAGAAATTTGAAAACGTTATTGAATAATTAATCCTCTTGAACTATATCACCTCGGTTATTTATGATTACTATGTCAAACATTCCTTTGTTCAATAAAGCTTTCTGCACTTTTGATTTATCAAGGCCAGCTTGATAAATATTCAAAGTTCTTAGTGAACTCTGGATCGGGGATTTTCCTATAATTTCAATCAAGAGTTCAGAAACTCGATGGCTGTCAACATATTGAATATTTGACCGGACAAAACTCAGATAATTCATATTAGAATACTCAATGTCTATTTCAGTTTCCTCAGATATATCTATTGTTCAAGCATTAAAAATTAGCCTAAACACCTGATTTGTTCTATCCATAATAATCTTGAAACTGTTTTTTCAGAATGTAAAATCTTTCAAAAATATTTCACTTGTCACATGTGGGAGAGCTTTAGATAACCCGTTGACTATTTTTGGTTCATTCCTTTGTTTGTCACGCTTTTCAAGACGAAAGATAGATAATTCCTCTACTATTGAATTAGATAAGAAATCATCTAAGATCTTTAGGAAATCTTTGGATATATTATACAAGGATAGACCTTTAATCTCTGGAAGTTCAATTCTATTCTTGTTACACTGTTTTATAAACTTCCTTGATGTGAGATCGAAAAAGTCTAAAGCCAATTCAGTCGATGAATCGAATTTTACTTCATCATTGTAAATATCATTGTATAATTCTTCACAATTGGCTTGACGCATTTCTCTTAGTGGCTTTTCATTCTTCTTGATTACATGATGCAGCTCAATAATATTATGTTTAAGCTTTGTGTTTTCACTTCATACTGCTTCCAGATTGATTTTCATTTCTTCAAGATCTTTAAGTTGATCTTTCTTAATCACTTCATCTTTTAAGCTGTTCTCCTCTAAAACTTGAATTTTTTCAAGCAATTCTTTGATAATCTGTTGTTCCTTTGTTTGATTTTGATAATCTTTCGACTCTTCTTTCTCATCAGTCTCTTCGAAATCACTGCATTTATTGTCATTATCCTTGCTCTCTGATTTATATTCCTCTTTCCCAAATGAAAAAATCAAAGGCTTGGTAGTTTCACCTTGAGTCTCCAATATATTTTGAGAGATTGGATGAGACTCCTCTACAGATTCTGCATATTTTTTCTTTCCGTTAGGCTTTGTTAGGTCAAACATCTTTGAATAAAACAGTAACTCAAAGATGTTATTAGGACCATTTTCACATTGTCCATATTTTGAATTCAATATATCTCTCTTGATATATCTTGCTTCTAGCTTAATTTCTGCATATTTCAAGAATTCATCATTCTTCACTGCTGTGGTAGCTGTTTCTTCTAATTTCTGTACAACCTGAGCTATAGTATCCAAAGATCCCTGAAGTCCTTTGATCTTAGCCAGTAGCCCATACTTCTTGGCTTCTTGACAAAGACCCTTGACAAGCTGTGTCAAGAGCTCAATTGCTTCAGTGACCTCGTCTGCTTTCGGAATAATTTGGAAGTTGCATTGGAAATGGAAAGCATCTCAGCACTTATGGCAGAGCGTCTCTCTGTGATCTTTGCAGTAGTAACCTCTCGGGTTCTGTCAATTTAAAGACCAGCATTCCTGATTCGAGGCTTCCATCTTTGGATTGGAATTTATTCAATTAGAGTTTAAGGACCAGGGGTTTTGGGGTTTTGGGGTTTTGGGG